ATTTATACTCTGTCTCCGTCGACTGATCCTCCCTTAGTTCCCTCTGAAAACTGTCTGGTCCCCTAAACATCATTTCACCGACCTCATTTATACTCTGTTCGCGTCGACTGATCCTCCCTTAGTTCCCTCTGTTCCCTCTGAAAACTTTCTGATCCCCTAAACATTACTTCACATCCCCCTATTTATACTCTGTTCGCGTCGACTGATCCTCCCTTAGTTCCCACTGAAAACTGTCTGATCCCCTAAACATCACTTCACACCCCCCCTATTTATACTCTGTTCGCGTCGACTGATCCTCCCTTAGTTCCCACTGAAAACTGTCTGATCCCCTAAACATCACTTCACCTCCCTCATTTATACTCTTTTCGCGTCGACTGATCCTCCCTTAGCTTCCTCTAAAAACTGTGTGACCCCCCAAAAATTACTCCCTCCTCCTAGACAAGTATTCAAGAAAAGAAGCTACATTTTTCAGTAGAATACGTGGTGCTCTTACATACCTAAATGAGTTTTTCAATGTGGAGGTTGACCTTAATTATATGCAATAAAATAACAACTAGGTAAGTACGTATTCACAAAATGTTTCCCTCTTTTCTCTTCTCGCAGGATAAGGAGATGATGACGAGAACAATTTAAAATCAAGGGATTCGAGGAAAGAAAGAGATACAGGAGAACTTCTAACAAGGTTAGTTCTTTGGCCTTTTCTTGTAAATTATAAGTCTGAGTTGGACGATTTAACCTGGACTTAACGAACGTTTGCAATTCAAAACAGTGATAAGTCAATGATTGAGAAAAACTTAAAACAAAGAAATATATTTCTTTTTCTTTTCACTCTGTGATTTCTCGGTTTGGTCTGTTTTTTTAAGGTGGTTTTCAGTGGTTTATAGCGCCTGCGCGTTACATCAATAAATACTTACCATGAGAGTTTCTCAGCTGTTTCGTTTAAAGCTGATGTCAAAGAAATTCCAATTCAGTAGTTCGCATCTGACCTATCAAGTTACCATAACAACGGTTTAGTCTGGGAAATGATCCTTGAATTTTAAGATTAAGGAATTATAGGCAGAGCGAGCCCAGTAATCTTCGTTCTATATATTTTACAAGTTTTATCTTTGGCAGGCCTGACATAAGTATTTTTCGTCATCTGAAAACTTGTGGCTACCTCCTCGTACTTTAAATTGCATTTTGAATTCCTGTTGGCATCAAAATGATTAAGGCAGTCTAGGATTGCCAATTGCACATGCAATTGCAACTGCAACTGCCAAATAGATAAATGATACCTCCGGAACACGATCAGAAGATCTTTTAAGAAACTATTTTCTGTAGGTTTTCAGTGGTGCACTAAAAAGGAAAAAAGTTTGGAATCACTACGGTTACCTATTTAGCTTAACACTCGTAATAGATATTTAGCTGGGGATATTTTCTTAAAAGCTATTTTGTTGCATTGGTACATTTCGGCGCAGGATGATTGTCACAAGATGTTTAAAAGGCGTTCCTGATCATCTCATGATAAATTCAAAATGTCTTGGCTCTTAAAACTTAACCCATATTCATTATGATCCCAAGATTAATATTTCTCAAACTCGTCTGTAGAATTTTTTTCCCCCAAATTTAAAGTCTGTAATTTCTTACAAATTAAAAATTTTCCTTACCTCATTCGATAAAAGCCTTGGGGCCCAATAGATCTCTTCAGCTTCTATGTTTTGTTTACCCATCTCAGGTCATATGTACTAATACTCTGGAGATCTGTTTCTATTAAATTTCATCTTTTTCACGTGCATATGATTGCATGATAAGCGACTTTGTTAATACTGGGGTCAGAATGAACGCTGGCATTGGCCAAACCTGTACCAGGTCCCTCAAGGGGTATATTGATTTACGTGGCCTCGATCTGTGTTGTGTTTGTATGAGATGCATAGCCAATAAGGATGTTAGAGCCCAAGTACTAAAAATGTCTGAACTCTTGAGTCTAAAGTCAAATTATAGAGATATATCCCATTGAATGATATTTGTTTCTTTTATGAGTTTATCATCAACGACCAAGTTATTTTTTCTGACGTGGTCATAATAAAAAACCCTAGAGACTAACTATCCAAAACATCTGAGCCAGGGGCGGATCCCGGGTTTTTTGAGGAGGGGGTGCACCACTAAAGAATGGCGTAACTGACTGGTGACCGGACGTAAACAAATTGTAATAG